GGAGAGCCCCTGGGGCTGGGCTATCAGGACGCAGCCCCGGACGCCCGACTCCCCGCCGGGCCCGTGCCTGCCGCCCTGAGGCGGAAGCCACAGCGCCCCCCCACGCCCGCTGCCCGAGACGAGGAAGAGGAGGAGGAGAAAGAGCCGAAGAGGGCGCGGGGGCGTTCGCCTCTTTCCCTGGGAGCTGCCCTTGGCAAGGAGGCGAGGTGAGAGTCCCGAGCGCCGCCCGCGTCGCCCCGCGTCTTCCCGCTTCCTCCCAGGTCCTGCGGAGGTGGGAGCGCCTGGAGAGCGCTAGGCCCCGCCAGCCCCCGCTCCAGTGTTGCCTCACCGGGCGCGGGGGGGGGGGGCGGACGGGGTGCTTGGCTTTTCCTTGCAGCTGCTTCTGTGTTCGGGTATGGGGTATACATTTTATATATACGTGTATGTGTGTGTGTGTGCAGTAACTTAATACACCTCTGCTTATGTGTATATGTATAATGCCACGGTGTTACATGGCATTCCCCTCCCACTCCCAGAAAGTCTTCCAATAACTTCCTCGTTTGTTCCACCCAGTTAAGTTTTGTGGTTTCTCTTCCAGAGGAGACGGTGCGTGTGTGTCAGCCCCACGCAGTGCGGAAAGGCTTTCAAGGATATTTCCTTTACTGTTTCGCCTTCAGAAGGCACTCTTCGGAATGGCCTCTCCGTTTTTTTTCTCCTTTCCCAATAAAGCAGAGGCTGCCAGCCAAGCAGGGAATTTCTCTTCTGCACGTTTCCTGCTTGAATCCTGTAGCAACAGTTCTGAACAGAAGGGGGTCCTCTTCACCCTGTTTAGTCCCAACAAATCTGATGACTACAGGTTTTGGGGAAGGAAGAGAGGGAAAGGAGAGGAAACCCGGTGGTCAAAATATCCGATTGTCTTTGTCACCAGGACCCCCATCAGTTTCCTCTACTTTTTAACTGCGAGCGTCTCTCTCTGTAGAGTTCTAGCAAACATGCGCTTTGTGTTGCTAATGATTTCAAAATTGTATGTTCAATGCTATCGTCATTTACCCAATGCAACCTGGGTTTAAATGTAACTTACTATGGGCAGCAAAAATTGTAACTGGAGTGTTGTGGTTGAAAAGATTTAAATGTTGGTAAATACGAGAATGAAAGATTGGCTATCAGTCAATACATAGGTCTCAATAAATATTTAGATGATTTTGTAACTTGTAATAATAGAGACCCAAGTTGGGTTCTAAGAATCATTGCAGTATTCTTAAAGGACAAAATACAGTGATGCCTTCAAGTTTTTAAAGTATTTTTCTTCCTTACTTGGAAGCGGACTTTCTTCAAAAACTTCTTTAAAAATTGTTTGGTGATACTTGAAATGTAAGGAAAATAGCAAATATAGATACAGGATAAGGTCCTCAATGTGTTGCACTGAATAGTGTGACAGACTGGGGCTCAGGCGGCCTGGGTTCAAATCCCTGTTTGGTCATGGAAACTTATAGGTAATAGAATGGGTAAAAACTACTTCTTAAATCATTCACCTACCTTGAAAGGCCTGTTGAGGTCACTATAAATCCCAGTCTACCACATGGACAGCACAAACCACACACAGAGACATGATACAATCACTTAGCTCAGTAGTTTCAACCTTGGGTAACCAGATTGTTATTGGACAGCAATTCCCAGAAACCCTGGCCAGTACAGCTGGTGGTGAAGGCTTCTGGGAATTGCTGTCCAATAACTTCTGGGTTACCCAAAGTTGGAAACCGCTGACTCAGATTGACTGGGCACGATACAGAATGTGTAGGATAATTATGCATTTCAAATAATGTCTCTAAGTATCCCTAAATGGCATTATTCTGAAAGTATACATTCAAAAACTTCACTGTACAAATATTGATTTGTCAAATATTGTAATAGATATGAATGAGACATTGACCATTTAGAAACTTAACTCTAGGCACTGTGTATCTTTATATTGCACGCTTATAGGTATTGGCCTTGTTCTCTTCACAGTTAACACATACGCTGTTAGTTTAATTTTGTGAGAAACTGTATCATGTGCTTTAACATCTTGTGCAGATAAATGAGTTGTTACTGTTGTTAAATCTTGTGAACTGCATTGAATCAAATCAAATAAGAATGTTAAGATAAAAACATTCAAATATTAACAGAGGTATCTGGGAGTAAAATATACTGAAAACATTGTAGCACATGAACTTTAAATTTTAGTTGAAAACTGAAGAGAAAATTTGTTATATACAGTACTCTATGTAGTCCTCAGTCAGTCTTAAAGAAGACTTTTCATTAACTCAGGATTCTTATTTGATAAATACTCCCATGTGTGTCTTTGAAAAGTTGAACTGTAGTTCAGTTTGTGCACAGAAGATCCAGAGTTCAGTCCTTTATAATGTGTTGGTGACCTGGGACTCGGGAGAGTTAGATTCAAACCCATAAGTGTTTCATGACCAATGCAAGGAGGCACCCCTCAGATTTTGCAGGGAGGCATTCCCTTGCTGTGTCCAAGAACTGCCCTTGTACAGATCGTCACTCATCTGTGATACACGACTTTGCCCCACTCAACAATGCTCTGCCCAATTTATCACACAGATGTGAGGATAAAAGGGTGGGTGAAAACACAACCTTGCATGCTGCCTCCAACTTTTGGGTCAAAAGGAAGGACATAAAATGTAGTAAGTGAATCCCTAGGTATCCTTGGACAAAAGCTTGGAGGTGTTGCTGCAGTTCAGTGTAGAATATGCTGAGAGAGATGAACAAATGGTCTGAGTTGGCGTAAGCACGTAGTAACCCAGTTTTTTTAAAAAAATGATGCAGAACATAAGGGTTTTAGACAATCTGTTGACTAAATTTGCACTCAATTGTATGTGAGTTAACAGTTTCTAAAGCATGAAACATATATTCATTTAGATCTTTCCCATCTGTCATAGCAGGTATCACCTTAGAATAGGCATTTCCTGCTAGATGAAAGAAAAGACAACATTTTCCTTTCCAGGTGGTGCTTGGCATCTCCTACTGTTGTTGTTGAAGTGCTTCTTTTAAATTTCTTAAAATCTGCTGTGAGATTACTCAGGAACAGCTTTTATTTAATGAAGAATTGTTTAATCAGTTAAATAAGCAGCTTTTATACTTCTTTCTGCACTGAAACATCTCCTTGAGATGATGTGAAACAGTTTGCTTTAAGGTTAGGTTCGTGTCAGAAGTCTTTGGTTACTTTCTTTCAAAGTATGCCTCTACTTACAAACTAAGTTACATTTTCATTCACATGAAAAGGAAGTTGTGAAAATACAGTATAACCCCAATCCCAAGCAAGTTTTTGCAGTGCATTTTTCTTACAGTGTGCATAGGTTGTTAATTTTGTAACACTGTGTTATCATGTGTTTAAACTACTTTTTGCAGCCAAAACTTTACAGGCAAAGGTCCAGAAAAATGTGCATTATGCACCTCCTCCTCCACATTGCTTCTGAGGTGTTCCCACTAAGCTGTTTGCCCTTTTTCCAAAACATTGAGGGGAAAGTCTAGTTTGCTGTTAGCAGTGGTCTAATCGGCTGTGCAAATCATATGTATGTAGGGGAACTGATCTAAGCCTTACTACTCTCTGCATTCTACCTGTTACAGGGCTGAAAATATCACAAGATACTTAGTTTAAAGCTTGCATGGTGTTATTTTTTTAAAAAAATGTTTTGATATACTAAAAGAATTATTGTAATATTTAAGCAATAACCTTATCAGTAACCAAGATAAATTTCTTGGTTTTTAAAAGGTCTTCCAAAATAACTCACCAAAATTAAACAACATGAAATATTAATATAAAAGTAATAAAACAGATATAATAAAACCAACAAGTAAAAGCCAGTTAACATGCATAATTTTAATAAAACTTAGTTATTATACATTGATTTAAAAACTAATAATAAATTATCATTTCTGAATAACATTTTTTCTAAGTATGCTTAAAAGCTCAAAGAATTCCAGAATTCCACAGGGAAAATATTCTATAAAAAATTGCTGCTCTGGAAAAGACCCCATCTCGACTTACTTATCAAATGTATATAATTTAAATGGAGCAGAGATGGTGATATGACAAACTTAAATAGAGGTCAAAATAAACAGAGCTCAAAAGCAAACTGAAAAGTGTTGTTGTTGTTGTAGAAAGTAGTGTTACCTCATTACCATTCCTCTGACAATATGTTGCTGGTTGCTTTTTGAATCAAGTAAGTTTTTTTTTTCAGCTGGCCCATAGACAGAGCATTGCCATTCCTCAAGGTTTCAGTGCAGCCTGGTTTCATGAGGAGTGACCAGTGCATGAACAATTAAAGACAGTTCTGCATTTTTCAGATAGGAACAGAGTTGGTAAATCAGATGAAGTTCATGAAAGGCACTCCTAAGCTGTTTACACTGCTACCTCAATTTCTGAGGTTAGTTTTAGGTCCCAGAAAGCCTCTGAAGTGCAAACTTGATCCTCCAGCAGAAATACAACCTATTGAGAACAGGTAACGTGTCCCCATCTGTAAGTACCAAATACAGTAACAGAATTTTAATCTAGAATAAGATTCAAATAGTTCACACTCATTTATCCAGTAATGTTTCTGGGTGCTAGTTCAAAATGTATGCTTTTTTCATTGGATTACTTGATAGAAAACATGGGGATAGAATTGGTTATCATCAGGAATTGTTTTGACATTTCAGCTAGAGATGAGATCTTCATATTTGTGTCCCAAGAGATATGAATAGTTGGCACTACAGGTACCTGGGGAAACCAGACCTTCCCCTCAGAACCAGCCAGTCTACTTGCTGCTTGCCATGGAATACAAATATCCCATGTCTAATTAAAACCCATGCCTGCAGAAGATTTCTCCCAAGTGGTGTTGGTTTTTTTATAAACATTGAAGAACATACTTTACCATTAAAAGCACATAAACAATACAGTGGATCCTCGACTTACAGATGGCTCCACTTACAGATTTTTCGAGTTAAAGACTTCTCTGGCCCCAAAATTTAGGGTCGACTTGCAGCTGAAGAAAAAAAACAAAATGAAACAAAAACAGCTAAAATTTAGGTTCGACTTGCAGCTGAAGAAAAGAAAAAAACCAAAATGAAAGAAAAACAGCTGGGTACGGATTAATCGATTTTCAATGCATTGTAGGTCAATGGAGCCTTGACCTACAGACTTTTCGACCTGCAGCCACCCTTCCAATACGGATTAATTCCATAAGTT